TTCACATTGAATGTCTAAAAGGTCATTTACTATAAATAGGTAATTCTAAATGCTGTTCTTTATCATCTGTAAAAATACACTAACGATATAAGCACTTGTCCTTTAAGCCACTCAAGTCATGAATGTGTCTTTTAATGCATAGTTATGGATAAGACAGACAGATATACAGATATGCTTATATACACCCCTCTTTTTACATCCACACACAGTAAAACATATTTATGACAGGGGCTTCAATTGCATAACTTTAAGTACCTTTTGAAATTACATAAATTCTGATTTATTTGTGAAATAAATGAATGAAATTTTATAAAAGGATTATATATTATATAATTATATAAAATAGATTTCCATGAAAGTTACAAAGGAATAGGTATTTTATGTTTAAAAGCCTTTCTAACAGAGTCTCTCAATAAAGTTTTTTATAAAAGTATCTTTGAATTTGAAATTAAATTTAGCTACCTCATATTTCATCCCTACTTTAGATTTACCCTGCTTTGCTAACAGGTTGATACCAGTCTGATGGAAACAAGCAAACCTTAGGAGATCGATTAGCTATTTCACAAAGACAGACTTGCAGAATTGATTTCATAACTACACAGTTGTTTTATGATGGACAACCTCTGTGTTTGTTAAGGTTTACTCTTAGGAAAATGCATAGAAATATAGCTTGAGAGAACTAATTCTAGCTAGAATTAAACTATACAATAATGCACAGTTCACCTTAGACATCACAGTACATGCACGTTTTGAATTTTGTAAGATTAAGTATAGTTTTTTTAAAAAAAATACTAAGATGCAATTTCTGTTAAAAATGCAACTGTGAATAAACATATCTTGTAGAACATTTGAGGCTGATGCAATTGCTTTTCAGGCCAAATTCGGCATATAAGCTGACAGTTATCTCTAAAGAAATGAAAGAAGGACCTGGGTGGGACATGAGTGGAAGGCCTGACTGACATGCGAACGGAGGCCCTGGGCAGGACATGAGACAAACTCCCACTGCACCAGCATGAAAGAAAGCCCCAGTTGGTGCATTGATGGCACGCAGTGTGATAGGCAGGGCATAGTGGAGGTAGGTGGGAGGTAAAAGTGCCGAGATAGGGAGAAATAGACAAGTGGGGAAGTTCAAGAAGAGGCAGTTCCTTACCTTATCAAGTCTTGAGGCTGCAAAGGTCTAAGTGGAAATGGCTTGGCTTGGCTTGTGTCCTCACCTAAAAACCAGTGAGGTTTGGTTAATGACAATGAGGACTACCAGGATTTCTGTCACTGAGTGATGTGGTTATGTGACATTGCACTTCTGACCGCATTGCTTAGCAACAGAAATTCCACTCCCAATTACTGCTGTTAACCAAAGACTGTATGTACCTTTTAAGCAAGGAGCAGTATCTGACTCAACCAAAGATTTTCAGTAAGACATAATGCTAATTCCAATTCTTTCCCTCTTTTATGGAGTTGCATTTTTATTGCCAGATGCAACAACTTAAAAGCAATTGTACTAAACAATTATGTGTGCTACAAAGCAATATATTACAGTTATGAATCAATTATTTTCTAATTAGGCATTCCATTATTATATTGATGTGTTTGGTTTCCTACAGGTCTCAGGTTAATCCTGAAACAAATTCTTTGTGAATAAATATTACTCATAATTAAAGAGTGTTTATTGAAGCCGAGACTTTTCATTAAATTCTTTTCAGATTAAGGAGGCTCCCAGAGTACTGGGTTAATTGAACTTAATAAGATTTGTCCACTTGTGCATTTGGTATGGCAGAAACTGTTTTAGTGCCAGCCAGTTAGCAGCGATAAGTTCTCTTCTTCTTCCCTATCCCCTCATGAATTTAAATACCTATCACTTTCAGAGTTTATAGAGACTGCATTCTGATCAGCCATATCATAAAGGCTATCTTGCCTTATGCCCTATGCCTGAATCAAGGGATTCATGAAGTAACAATAATGACTGCATGATAGAGCTAATGTTATGTTATGTCATATGCTCACCAACCTCTTGCTCCCACTGCTGACCAGGCAGCCTGGCTGGATTTTGTGGTGCAAGACTGAAAGCAACCTCAGAGCCTCAGTGTGGTCCCCCCCCCCAAAAAAAATCCCCTTGTGGATTGGGCTGGGCTGGGCTGGACCTAAGCTTCACACTGTAAGAGGAAAAAATGCAGCCCCAGACCACAACGCTCTTGAAAAGTTCCAAATACCAACAAGGAGAGGATCAACAGGAAATGCCTTTTCTATGGCAGTCCCTGCCCTATGGAACAATCTTCCCCCTGAAGTTCAGTAGACTTTTAGCCTCCTAGCTTTCCATAAAGCACTGAAGACCTGGAATAAGACGAGATGATTTCATATAGGAAGCTTAACTTGGAACAGGCTTTCGTTTTTAATGTGTTTGATTTTTATAGCTTTATTGTAGTTTTTAATGTTTTAATTTTTGATTGGGAGCTGCCCAGAGTTTGTTGTAAAATGGGCAACTATATAAATGTTTGTAATAAAATAAAATAAAGTTGTTCTGCAGGGTCATCACTGCCATTTTCAGGAGCACCTTCTTCCTTCAAGCTCCTGAAAATGGGAAATCACTAAAAATTTCTCCCTGTTGGATCTGATCAGTCCGACTACTACATATAAAGTTTCTTCTGTACACTTTTTAACAAGTGCTCTCCTTGTTTGTAAAGACAGCCCAAGATAGGATTTTGAAAAGCTGCCTCTAAAATAGTTAATATCTTTTACATATGTGATTTTTTTTCAACCCCAGCTGTTGTAGCATGTGTTGGGAAAAAAGTTCAATCTGTGAATTTCCCTTCAAAAGAGTTTATTTATATGGTATACTTAATTTAGTGCAGCCTTTTTACCTAGAAACATTTTCAGAACAGCTCAGTAAATAGCAACCTTTTTTAAAAAGAATAAAATAAATACTGTCAGTATAGCTTTAAATTATTTCATTTGTTAGTTGACGGTTTCATTTACAAGATTATGCTCAAACCAATAATTTTTAAAAAGTTTAGCAAACAAAAACATAATTCTCAGACATAAAGGACTCTTATATCTAGAAGGACATGATCTGCAACTTGTATGGCATGCATTTCTATGGTATGAGAAGAATAAAACTCATAGATACTTTTTCCACTATGTAAGAAATACACTACTTTTCGTGTGGGAAACGATAAAAGCTAAAATCTACTTGAAAATCCCAGGATGATCATTAAAAAACTATTGTAATAGTATTTAACTTATTCAATTATGTTAGTTAAATCAATCAACTTTATTAATAATTTATTCTAATTTATTATTTATAAATCCAGAAGAAAATAAACAAAAACAAAAATAAAATTGATAAATTAAGTATATGTAGGATGAAAAACCACAATTCTTAAATAGCAAATTAAATCTTTACCATACAGAATAATACTGATTGAACCTTCCATACAACCAATACATATGTAGAGAGTGAGCATATGCTCTGAAACAGAATTCAGTTCAGGCTCTTAAATCAAGTATAGCAGAGTCTTTCCTTCAGAATACAATGGTCTTTTTGGCAATAAACCACACAATAATAAAGCCCAAAGTTTTCAGTACGTAATGCAATAATGCATTACACCTTTAAACCATATTTCTTTTTCTGGCATTGTATTAACAACCTGATGATTATTCAACCAAAATTGTACAACTATAGGACAAGCTCTAAATATATATGTCATTATAAGCCAAAATATTAGAATCACAATATGCCAAGCTGGAGATCCAAGGATGTTTGTTAAACATCCTCTTGAGTGTCACGAAACAGAAAAAAAAATATTTTGTTGAATTAATCCCTATTAAGGCCAGACAGTACACATTTAACTTTCTTCAAATACTAACCAATTAATTCCAGCTCTTACAAATATCCCATATCTGTCCTAGTACAAACCAGAAACTATGACACAATTAAGCAAAGGCTACATATGGGCTGGGAGTGGAGAGAGAAAAGGTAAATCTAAATGTGTGGCTCTCAATAAAAGTTACGTCTTTTACAAACATCTATCATGTTGTTTTTGCTTTTGAATTAAAAAGTTCCCTTGAACCCAGTATTTGGCAACTTTAAAATATGTGGACGTCAACTCCCAGAATTCCATTGAAATCTACAAAACAGAACTTAACAACTCTGTATGGGAGGTAGCTGTATATCTTTAGGGTTAGATAGTATGTGAGAACTGTAGATCTGTATATATAGCCCAACCCCAATAGTTCTAGAAATACATGCAAGGTATCCCCCCCCCCCAGAAATACATTAAAGGTTGTGGGTGGAATGGGCCAACTTGCTGTGGCTATCCCACCACAGCCAACACATTGCAGGACAACTTGCTGCAACTAACTTGCCACAGGACAATCCATGTGGGGCAACTCAATGCAATAAAAGTTATCCACCACTGTTTCTTCTACATTATTTCCATTCACAAAATGGAACTAATGTAGAAGAAACAGAGGCAGATAACATTTATTGTGTTGAGTTACTGTGTGTGAATTGTCCTGCAGTAAGTTGTCCTGTGGTGAGTTGGCTGCAGTGAGTTGTTCCGCAGCAAGTTAGCAGTAGCAAGATGGCTGGGGTGAGTTGTCCTAGACCTGCTAGGGGAATGAAGTTGTGCAGTTTAGGTTATTGTGCTCCTAACATTGTCTGTCATGCCTTGCTTGGGAGTTTTCTGGAAATATTTGAATCCGCCAGTCCAACACTGAAGACCGTAATTAACCTTTCTGATTTAGCATATCTATAAACCACTAGATCAGATTTCTGCTACAAACTAGGCAACCTTCAGCATCATTTTTCTGTCCATCTGGACTTTGCAGATAAATGAAAGCTGGCTGGGTGACTTCGGGCTCGTCACTCTCTCTCAGCCCAATCCATCTCATAGAATGATGGCTGTGGAGAAAATGGGAATATTAGGTATGTTTGCCAGAGAGAGAGAAAGCAGGTGAGAGGATGGGTTCATAATTATAATCATTATAATTATATTTCTTTCTAGGTAATAACCTTGATGCTGTTCATGACATAACAGTGGCATATCCTCAAAACGCTCCACAAACTGAGAAACACCTTCTGTGTGGAAATTTTCCCAAGGAAATTCATTTTCACGTCTGCAGACACCCTGTAGAATCCCTGCCGACCTCTGTGGAAGACTTGCAACTCTGGTGTCAGAAGCGCTGGGAAGAAAAAGAAGAACGGCTGCGCCATTTCTACGAAGGCAAAAAATACTTCGATGTGTCAGGGAGAAGCAAAATCCCACCCTGTAAATCTGAGCTCAGAGTCATGGTTGTTAAGTGCATTTCCCTCTTGTACTGGACATTTTTCACACTCTCTGCAATTGCACTGTTATACATGTACAACTTTGTACGATGGTATCTTGTGATTGTAGTTGTCATTTTCACTGTGCAAGAAAAGCTGTTTGGTGGACTTGAATTGATAGAACTTGCATGTCATCAATTTTTTAATAGACGCAGGTTATACAACGTAAACAGATGTTAAATTTATCTGGCGTATGTACTGATTGGATAAGTGATGTTTGTGGGCACTTTTCAGGTGTGCCATAAACTTTTCATAGTGGAAGGAGATTTTGCATGGGAATTAATATTTCTTAATGCTGTTTTGGTTAATGCACTGTACTCATTGTAAAGGACAAAAGTTCATATTGAATTTTTAATTTTTGAATGTATCAATGTTTCTCTTGCAGCTAGCCTCTGCAGCATCGCTGGAAAAGCATTTACTGACCAATCAAAGTTTCTATCCATTGAATTGTTTAAATATATATAGCTCTAAATTGCTGGGCAAATTAGGGAGCTAAAAGTCATGGACTGTGATTTTTACAGTGCCTTGCTATAAATAATGTGTGAGATTTGAAAGTCCCAGTTTATTACACAATGAATAGCTGACTATCTTCATTTCTCTACCTTTATACCTTACACAGAGTTAAATGGCTGATGCAATTATTGTCATCACAATCAACAAATGAAAGAGAAAACAAAACCCAGGACCTAAAGTCGGATGAATGAAGATAGTCTGTTTTGAACTATTATAACTTATTCTATTTTGAGAAAAAAAATCCAAAAGTCAATAAGGCTTTGGTAAAGGTGCTGGTAAAGGTAACTGAGCTGGACCCCACTGTCCTTTTGAAAGTCCTAAATCACCTTCACGATTCCATTCCTGTGAATTATTTGTCATATGGTGAAGTCACAGTCCATCTCCACTTCAGGTTTAAGCTGCGCTGCAAACCTAACTGCTAAATGCTCAGGCAAAACAACATAAAACTGCAAGAAGCATTGGAATTAATTTTCCCATGATACGAAAATAGGAATAATGTTAAAATTGCCTCATTGGATTATTAATATAAGAAACATTAAGATTTTTCTATTAACGTTTGTCTCTTTTTCCAAAATCTGAATTAGGAGAATACTTTTAGCATGGAAACTGAAGGACATTTCAGTCCATGCTTGATCATAAGCAGCCCCCTCCCCCCAAGGCTTCTGCTCCATGTAATGAACTATATATATTTTTCCCCAATTTCCTAATTGAGCCCTTCTTTCTTTCTGTGGCTGAACATCTTCCCTCCTGCTATTTTTAATGGAATTAGGGTAAATTCTTGAACTGGCTGCAGTTTTTTACACTGCACCTTTTACACTTAACACAACAAGTCAAGACATTTCTCTTCCATGCACTGAATATTAAAAAACACCAGAACTATAAACTATACGTTCAACATGTTAAGTGTCATGGCTACTTCCACATCTTTTTCAACCCCTGTCACCCCTACAGTAAGTTTTCATAGAACCATTTTATAAATAAACTGTATAAAGAGCTGCTGGCATATGAAAGGTCTGTAAACTGGTCTTAGATTACCACTGTTATTGAAATGTCAATGTTTTAGCCATAAAAAATATTTACTCTAGAGCAACAATAAAGAATTTAAAATGCAAATTGGTATAATTTTAATGAATTCTTTGACTAATTTATATGACCATACACCTTAACCTGGGCAGCTAGCAAAACACATTAATAACATAACACAATATAAAATCTATAAGGCAATACAGTCTTTAAAACTGAACTCCAACCAAGATTCCTTACAAAACTCTGTCATGATTCAGAATAGGATGCACATACTGGGCTCCGCTAACATCCTGACTCCCATGTCTGAAAAGGAAATGTAGTCTTCAAAGCTTTCCAGAAGATTGACAGGGCTGTCCAAATTTCCTGGAAGAGGCTGAGACAGAATGCATACTTGTAGTTCTGAAGTATCCTGGCCCTGTGCCATGCAGGGCCTTAGATGACAACCAACATTTTTAGTTGCATCCAGAGCTTCAGTGTTACATGAATATACCATGGTGAACTATGTGCTGTTACATTCTGAATTGGTTGTAGCTTCAAAATGCTTTTCAAGGATGGCCCCGTGTGGTCTGTAGTCTAAGCAAGAAATGACTAAAGCAGGGGTCTTCAAACTTGGCCCTTTTATGACTTGTGGATTTCAACTCCCAGAATTCCTCAGCCAAGCATGCTGGCTGAGGAATTCTGGGAGTTGAAGTCCACAAGTCATAAAAGGGCCAAATTTGAAGACCCCTGGACTAAAGCATATGTCTTCAGGAATAGGAGCAACTGGTGTACAAGATGGATTTGTGCAAATCCTGGGCATGATTGCCACCTGATCTCGATTAGTAGCTATGAGTTCAGATGGACTGCCAACTTGTACATCAACTCTGAGGGAGTGTTGCCCCATCCAGAGTTAATCATGGTAAACCTCCAAACCTAAAACCTACAGCCACATGGTCTAGCTAGGGTTGCATCAAAAGCCTGTGCTTTCTCACCCAGATCCTCACAGTCTCCAGGCATTGGGAAGAATCTTGATGGCATCATGTGGGGCAGGGATATATAAATATCAGGGAAGACATGGATCTAAAACACAGGTGACAGGATTCAAAACCCTAAGATCCTGTTCTGTTCCTCAGGACTAACATGTTCTAGCTCTCTCCAGATAACTAAGCAAGATGTGCTTCTGTCAATTCCATAAGACCTGCATAGCCAGAATCTGAACAAATTCAACTGGCTTTATCTGACAGATGCCTAAAATAGTCCTCAACAGGACCTGGAATGCAGCACTGATACCAAGTACCAAGGCTACCTTCCCTGAGAACAGTCCACACCTGGTCTTCTACCACATCACTCTATGCCCTCCATCACCATTGCCTACTCTCTCACCTGTTCATAACATCCATCACCCAATGATGCTTGTCCTCCTTTCTCCCCATCAAAGGAACCCATCATACACTAGATGGCACAGTAAGATTGGCATAAGATTAAAAGTAATCAGTGCTCATAAAATAAAGCATACTACTTCTATCCTACAGTCTAGCTAACAGTTGGGCTTGCTCTTAAGATTCCCAGCCTCAAAGGAGTAAGTATATTGTGATGTTATATGACTTCAAGATATACAGCTAGAGAGATTATCTCACTGAAACTTATTTAAATAAGTTATTATTAAATCATTTAAAATGTAACTGACTTCAGACATCATGTCAACAAATTATAATCGAAACCCAGTAGGTGTAAACTTCAATTTCCTGGAATTTCCTGTTACTGAATCTAAGAGGCTATCCTCAAAATAGAAAAATCACTTCCATCAAGAACAGATGGGCTGGATTTTATTAGAAAGTTCAACACTTTCTCAGTTTCTTATTGCACTCCAGGCAATAATTAACTCACAAAATAGTTGTCATACTTGACACCTATATATCTGCACATAATAAGATGAAAGTTTGGAAATGCTGAGGGAATGAATGCTTAGGAGTGCCCATTTAAATGCAGAGGTTTTGGGAAGAATCACAAAGCAAAATGGCATGAACTGGAACTGTTCTAATTAGCAAATAGACTTTTTATTGATCACATAGTTCCATTTATTTCAGTGTTTCCTCTTTGTTTCATCAATTTTCACTCATGTGGAATTGATCTTGGCCTTTTAAAGTACTTTTTTTAAAAAAAGTATTATGAAGCTACACAACCTCAGCAGTCAAACATTGGTAATAAATGCAATTCCATATATATAGTATATTTAGAATAGATTATCTTTCCCTTTAAGCCAATCTTGCTTCAGCACTGGGGAGATGCTTGCTGGGAACTTGTAAGCTGAGGCATAGAAAAATTAAAACTCACATGTTAGACTTTGGAGCACACTCACCTGAATTCAGTATGCTAAAAAAAATACCATTCATTGTTTGAATTCCCAGGATTCCCCATCCAGCATTCATGTCTTACTCTGTCCCTGCTTTGGCCCACCTTTTATCCTGGTTTTACCAGCTGTTTTTTTATGTTTTACAATGCTTAATAAATATCAAGTTATAATTTTTGCTTGCTTGGTGTATTCTTACTCTGATCTGAATATAGAGACTGACTGGGAGTGTACTGGGTACAAATTAAACTGGAAATTGCCACATTAACTTCCCAAAATTTCCAAGATTTGGGGGCACTAGTGACATGTAGAAGCCCCAGCAGCAGCTTTAAGTTCTCTCTGTAACTGACAAACAAGAGTGGTTCTGTTGCATAATTTTTCACTCAACCTAAACCATCAGAATGAAAAATGGGAGGGGGAAAACAGAGAAAACAAGAAAAATGGACCTGTGAAAAAGTTGGATAATTTAGCTCAGTTTTCAAATGGAAAACAAATTCTGAATTTGGTCAACCCTCTACATATGTGTCTTTTGCTCCCAATTCCAATAAAGAAGCCGTTAATTAATCTGAAAGTTTCCTACACGACTCAGTGTTTCTTGTTAACATACAACAGTTTCTGTGATTGCCTCATAAAAACAAAGCCTGCAAGGTTTGTTTCAAACAAAGCTTGGCAGAAGTAGGCTCTATCTGTTGTCATCCAGCAATACTGTCTGGGGGCTAATATACAATGTTTTCTGATGCACTGTCAACGGACATTTTGCCCCACCAAACTTAATTTAGAGCCCTTTAAATAAAGATGAAGTGTAAAGTGACAGCTTCTAGCATTACCATGTTTAAAGGAGACCTTTGGTGCAAATATAAGTAGTATCATCTGTCTTAGAAGGTAAAAGTGGAGAGAAGCTGCAATCCAGTGGTTTGTTTGACAGTGTGCCCACTTGCCCAGAAAAAAAGGCAAAGGGGTGGGAGTGGGCTGGAGAACAACATCACCACTTAGCTTTATAGTTTGCAACTGGGCACACCCAGTGTGTTAGCCATTCTACAAATAAGCAAGCCCAGAATTGCAGTGCTTTAGATATGTCAACTCTGGCTCACAAGTGACTCTAGCAGTCCAGCTCTGACTCCATTTTAGAGCAAAAAATAAATAAATGCTCAGCTCCAACTCCAGATGCTCCAGGAATCCCTGCTCTGGCACCAGAATTGCTCCAAAATAAGTTCAAATGTCTCCTGTTTCTTCAGCTGTTTATCTAGTGTCACTGGATCATAAAGATCCCAAAAGTATGTACCCATATAAAATGATCTACACGCTGCTATTGCTGCATTTTGCATTAATATTTTAAAATGCAGGAGGAACAGTAGCAATTAAACAGCTCCACGCTCCACAGCCCTACTTACAGTCAGCTTCCAGCTCCATTCTGACCCCAGCAACTCCTGCTACAACTCCATTCCAGTTCCGGAATATAGCTAAAATGCTGGGTCTTAGTTCCACAGGTAGAACACGGAGTTTGTCTAAAGTAACTTTTCCTCCATAGCAGATTTGGAGGGTTTTTTGGGCATGTTTGTGTGTGTGTATCTGTGTGTGGTGTGTGTGTGAAATTCATGTCCTCACAATTTTAAAAGATACTTGCTTATCCAAAACTGCCACATTACAGTACTGCTAATATTTTCATTTACTTCAGTTTTTTTAGGATACTCTACAACAGTATTTCTCAACCTTGGCAACTATAAAGTTTGGCTGGGGAATTCTGGGAGTCAAAGTCCACACATAGTTGCCAAGGTTGGGAAACACTGCTCTAG